CTGATCGCTGAGGAGGACATCCCCAAGACGGCCGTGATCACACCTTTCGACCTCTTTGAATTCCTCAGGATGCCCTTCGGTCTTCGGAACGCCGCTCAGACCTTCCAGCGATTGAGGGCGTCTTCGCCTACATTGACGACATCCTCGTCGCCAGCACCTCAGAAGCAGACCACGCCCGCCATCTCCGCGCCCTCTTCGGCAGACTGCAAGACGCGGACGTCGTTATCAACCCGGGAAAATGCCAGTTTGGTATCGCTTCTCTCTCTTTCCTCGGCCACACCGTCACCCCCCAAGGCATCACCCCAGCGCAGGAGAAGGTCACCGCTATAAGGAAGTTCCCCAGGCCAGCTGCGGAATTTCCTGGGCATGTTTAACTTCTACAGAAGGTTCGTCCCCGGGTGTGCCCAGCTCCTCAAGCCCCTCCACGCCCTGATCGCACCTAACAGGGCCAGCAGAAACACCAGAATCGAGTGGACGTCCCCGATTAACGAAGCCTTCCAAGCCTGCAAAGAAACCCTTGCTACTGCCACCCTGCTTAACCATCCTCTGCCCGAGGTTGCCCTCAGCATAGCGGTCGACGCCTCCGACACTGCCATCGGTGCGGTCCTCCAGCAACGCCAGGGTAAGCGATGGCAACCCCTTGCCTTCTTTTCGCAGACCCTGTCGCCACGCCAGTCACGGTACAGTGCCTTCGGAAGGGAGCTCCTGGCAGCATACTCCGCGGTGAGGCATTTCCAGCCATCTGTGGAGGCAAAGGAATTCCACATCCTGACGGACCACAAACCCCTCACCTTCGCCTTACACTCGAGGACCCGCCGCCAATCCCCTCGCGAGGAGCGCCACCTGGACTTCATTTCCCAGTTCACGACGGACATCCGCCAGATTCGGGGCTCGGACAATGAGGCCGCCTATGCTCTGTCGAGGGTGACCGTATCTGCTGCGACCCTCTCCGACGACGCAGTGGCCTACCATCTAGTAAGCAGAGAGCAATGCCAGGACACGTCCTTGACTCCACTCGTAGAGGGTCAGACTTCCCTCTACCTTGAGAGAGTCAAAATCCCAAACTCCTGCGACGACGTTTCTGCGATGTCTCCCTCGGCTACCCTCGCCCATACATCCCGCCTTCCCTCCGCCGGCGATTCTTCGATGCCTACCACCAGCATCGCGGAATCCAGGCCACCCAACACCTTATCGGCAGCAATGTCGTCTGGCCCGCCATCAACAAGGACGTTCGGCAGTGGTGTCGTTCCTGTATCGAATGCCAAAGAAACAAGATCCACAGGCACACCAAATCCCCCTTCCAGACTTTTCCTATTCCAGACAGCAGGTTCCAACACGTCCACATAGACATAGTGGGACCCCTGCCCATGGACGACGGCTACAGCTACATCCTGACGATGATCGACCGCTTCACCAGATGGCTCGAGGCTACGCCCATCCGCAACATCACCGCAGCGACAGTCGCCAAAACCTTCTTCAATACCTGGATCTCCCGCTTCGGCACCCCGGAAACCGTCACTACAGACCGCGGCGCCCAGTTCGAGTCCGAACTTTGGCGCCACCTAATGATCCTGCTCGGGTCCAAGTGAATCAGGACGACAGCCTACCAACCCTGCGCCAACGACATGGTCGAGCGACTCCACCGGCATATTAAGCAGGCCTTAACATCATCCTCCCCTAACAGGAGATGGGTCGACCAACTTCCTCATGTCCTCCTTAACATCCGGACTTCGTTCAAAGAGGACCTGCAGTGCACCAGCGCAGAAATGGTCTACGGGACAACGCTCGCCCTCCCTGCAGATTTCCTTGTCACAGCCAGCAACTTCGAACCCGGGACTTTCGGCAAACAACTCTGCGAACGAATGGCCCGGGTACGCAGCCGACCGACGAGACCCACCCGACAGCAGTACATATACATGCCTCCAGGACTCCAGGATT